ATTTTTATTCTCTTCTCACTTGAGAATGATGACATGGAGTCATCGAAACGTTGTGTGTTTTTCTCGCTAATATTTATTCTTAAATGTCTAACAAAATCTAATGTCATTCGAATATTGAAACCGTGAATTTAGCGCTTTAATCGACTTTCCTCTCTGCTTTCAGAAAACGAAATAGCAAACATGTTGTCCAAAACAGTGAGCTTGCAAAATACCGGCTGTACATCCGGAAAAACAAGCTGCGTACCTCAAAATCCTTCAAAAACATTGTCTGGCTTACTCATTTCCATTTCTTTAACGTTAACTAGTCAATCCATTGGAATTTCCTTAAACTCATCAAACAGACTTTTCCTTTATAAACCAAAGCTATTCTGTCTTAAATGGTTCCGAGTATAAAATTCTTTGCAGGGAGTCGTGGTGTATCGCCTGAAATAAGATGTCCTTTACTTCGGAAGTGAAGTTCCGGTCGTCGATTCTCATGATTAGAGGGAATTTCCCTGTTTTTAAGGTTCAAATGTCCGACAAATAGGGAAAAATTCCTTTTCATTTTTTGTAATTATACATCAGCCTCTCTTACCTTGGGATGGAAATCGGCAGTTAATTATGGAACAAGTGGTTTTTCAAAAAGCATCCCTCTTAGTGTGTGGGTAGCAAGTGAACAGACATCACAGCAACGAATAGCGGGCGAAAAATTGTCTTTCAACAGACTCAGTACCACACAACCAAGTTGTATTGCAAGAAAACACTTTACCTACCTCACAGTAAGCGAGAATCACTCATTAATCTAACCAGATTTGATTTGCATTTTCTGCATAAGGGGAATTTAAGACCCACACCGGCGAAAACATTTCGAGTATACAGTAAAGTACTATTCTGTGTCAGAGAATTAAGTAAAACGCAAGAGCTGTTACAGTTTATACCTGAATACAAGCTATATGAAGTTTAAAATGTAATGTAGCTTTAGCGACAGGCTACTATAACTCACCCGAAAATCCTATCAGGATACTGATAAAATCTCAGTCCCTTTTGCAGCCGTTCGATGATGTAGGGTCACTTGCGCGATCATGACACCCATAGAAAAGCAGGCTGTCTAGGAGACTATCCGGATGTTTTTCGGAAATAAGTGTTTATTATTAGGTTCACGAACTGAAGACATGAGGTCCCCGTTTCAGTACACATGCCCCGCTGCTGCGCACTAATTTTAAGAGATTAGAATAAATGTTGGTATTCGATTTAAGCAGGTAAATCAATGCTTGGGGCTAAACTAACAAGGGTTCTTCAAGATTGTTTGGAAGATACTTACAGCTCAGATTAAGTTTATTTTTGGACACACTCCCACATCCGTGGAATGGAGACGCCTTTGATTTCCGCCTTTGATTTGATTTGACGCCTTTGATTTTCCGAATCAATGCTGGTTTCAATCTGAAAACCACAAACAACAGCCAGCATAGCGTGATACTGAGGAGCATCAGTAAATCACGATAAAGAAATAAAAAAAAAAATTATCGTAACCATAACATTGATAAAAATAATAACGACAGTAACAGTGATAATAATATGGATTACAATAACGATGATGATCGTACATTTGGTTTTGAAATTTTATCCCATTTCTTGGGTGTAGGGTAAAATATGGACTGGACTGGACTATTTTTTGAACGACTTTTTGGACGATTTTTTGGACGATTTTTTGGACCATTTTATAAGGGGGAGGCACACCTTTAGTACTCGGGGAGGGGTGAGTGCAGTCGAAAAGTACTGAGGGAGGGTTGGGGAGGAGTGTTATTATTCAGGGAGGGGTGGTAGGTGGTTGTAATTGTAAACACTACTGGTTATAGAGCTTTGGCTCAATCGTAATAATTATTGTAATCGGTTCAGTTTTCGACTGATTTCTCCTACATCAACATTTTGCGCTGGACCGCGGTGTTCCTTTCATTTTTTAGCCATGCGAAAGCGAAACTGCCACGTAAACACTGGACTTTTTGAAAATATCGCGTTTACGATCCTCCCTTGTTGAGTTATCAGTCTGGCATAGGTTATTATGCGTATGCCTTTTGAGTCGACTTGTGCACCATCAGTTTTCCTTTGTGCAATTACCAGATTTATCTATCTTTCTTTTGTCATTGATGTTATCAGACGAGATCACAGAGTTACCGTTCCTTGGCTCTTGACTTTAACCGCAACTATCGGCCAATAGTTCCTCGACAGAAACACTCTATTGTTTAACTACGTATTTCGGTGTAGTGCGAAATTCTGTGATCTCGTCTGATAATATCACTGACAAAAGGAAGATAGGATAAATTCAGTAATAACATACTGTATACAGAAAGGAAAACGTGAAGCAACTGATAGTGCACACACAAGTCGACTCAAAAGACACACGGATAACTCAACAGATGAGGATCGTAAACGCAGTATTTTAAATATAAATTAAAGTTCAGTGTTTACGTGACAGTTTCGCTTTCGCAGAACGGAAATTCCGAGATCTCATCTGATAACATCAATGACAAAAGGAAGAGAGTTAAATCTGGTAAGGGGCCGACCATTTAACTCTTAATGGGGGGGGGTGGGTGATTTTGAAAAAAAAATTTCCTGCAAGCGCTTGTTGGAAGAAAAATTTGCATGCAGCCCAAATGTAACAGAAAAAAAGAGCATTTAGAACGGAAAAAAATATCCTGCCCAGCAGATTGCTAGAAAAAAAATTTCTTGATGACCAGAAATCACCCACCCCCGCCTCCCCTNACCGAGTAAAAGCTCCATTAACCAGTAGTGTTTACAATTACAGCCACCTACCACCCCTCCCTGAGTAATAACACTCCTCCCCCAACCCCCTCAGTACTTGTCGACTGCACCCATCCCTCCCTGAGTACTAAAGGTGTGCTTCCCCCTTATAAAATCGTCCAAAAAATCGTCCAAAAAATAGTCCAGTCCAGGCCATATTTTACCCTATGCCCAATTTTTGGCCTTCCATAAACACATATCCAAGCCTCAAGAAATCCTCACTCAGTGCATGACAACTGTAATTTTTCTAAGGGAGTGTCCGACGCCGTATGACATAAAGAAGACAATTTTTTCAACTCCGTATTGCGAGCCTATTCAGCCATTTTCCTGTTAAGAAGCTATCAGAATCTCTTTGAGTTAAAGTGAGACGTTTTAAAAGATGATGGTGATGAAAGAACCCTTATAGCTTAATGATGTGGGTCTGGATAATTAACGATCAATGAGGTAACCTCGAACTGCAGCGACATGAATATCAAAGTTCGGGCGTAAAACAAACCTAGACTCTATTTCAAGGAGTCACATCAGATCGCAACGCAAAAGACTCACTGTTAGGTGAACTCTATCAAGGCTCTCTCTTTATTGGACGACCACCCCTCCGCTTTTAACAAGACTGCAAACAGGACATGAAACTGTCAGGCATCAATCCTAACTACTAGGAGAGCTGGTAAGAAATGGATAAATCGTGTGTTTCTAAAGGTTGAGACCACTAGGAATGACCAGCTCACCATAAAAGAGCTAGGAGTAAAGATAAGGTCAGCGTTTTTTTGTGTAAGGCCAAAGCGCCATCATCCTTCATCTGTACATGTAGCATCTATGCAAGAGACTAACAGTTAGATTTTCCCTGAGTCTTGCCATTGACTTATTTTTGTAAGGTTTAAGACAAATCAGATGACAATATGATGTCTGGGCATTTTTCAACTGTGTAAAGCGTTCACACATCCTGTTAGAAATGGAAACCAATGGCAATTTACTCATGTTGTCAGTGTTTGCCGTTGGAGATTAAAAACGAAAAGGGACGGCGTACTTAACTCAAAAACACTGAGATACAAGCCAACACTCTAAAGCATTGAAGTGTATGAAGCGTTTCTCTCTTAATACTATATGACTCCCAGAAGGCCGTCACAGAAATGTTCACCGCGCACAAGGAATTAAGTTGCGTGCCGTGAAAAGAAACAAACAAACAAAATACACAAAACAAGACAACAATTCTTTCTATTTTCAAATGAAAGTAACTTGTATTGCTTTGTGTGGCTTTCATTTGCGCAAAACAAAAATTACATATCGTCATGAAAGTAATTTACTTCCCATAATATTCAGTTACCAGTATCATAAAACTAATACTTTAAAATGTCCATGTTGAGTAAGCGTCCTACGATTTTCTTTTCTGTCTTACTTTAACCCTGTTTTTTCTTTCAATTTGGAACTAGATATAATTTTTAACTCTTACCGTCTACATTTACTAGCTACATTACTGCTGTGTTCTGATGCAATCTTTCTATTTGAAAAGAATAGTTATTGGTATTACTACAGCAGCTTAACTCTGATTAATGAGGACACTACCAAAGTCCTGATCCCTTATTGAGAACTTATCGGAATGATGCCTGTTTTAAGTATAAAAGTACCTAACATAGTAAGCTATTTTATAGCTCATTGAGAACTTAACCTTACTCTAATTATAATTAGACAACGGCTTAAGCCCTTCTATATAGGTTGCCATATGGTTTTCCTAAATATAAGCTACAAATTGGCAAGTTGCGCCAAATAAAGTTTCTGTATCGTTATGAAAGTTAACTTGTTATACGTATTAAATTCAACTACTGTTGCTAATACAACCATTACATTTTATATATGTTGAGAGTTAATGTAATTTTTCTTTTTTTTTTCCTTTTTAGCCTTTTTTTTTTTTTTTTAATTTTTTTCGAATTGAATTACAAGCCTCTATTGTTACGTTCTAATCAAGAGAAAATAAATCCCGCTATTTTCTCTTGGGTCAAATGCAATCCTAGATGAAAAGATACTACATTTCTCCTTTCTCCCTGACGCATTTTCCATCTACCTAAATTATCTGTACATCTATATTACTTCATACAGCAATGCTTTGGTTCTGGGTAACTGAAATTTAAAGAGCTCTAAGAAATTTAAATTAACAGAATTGCGAAAAAAGGGAAAAACTGTCAAAATCTTTTGAGGAAATCTACATTTAAAATGAGGTTTTAAACTTTTTTTAAAAATAATTTTCGGTCTACTGGTTTCCTGTTCATTTGGGTAGTTGTAAGACTGGTGGCATAGGTTAAATCCGGCCCTCTCCCTTATGTGCAATTCGAAAATATTAAATTAGATATTCAAACATTTTCTTTTCTCATCAAGAAGTGTCTCTTTTTAAGAGAAAAGAAAAGGCACATCTTTTTAATAAGGTATACTCAAATTTGCAACGTTTTTAAAAATGTTTTTAAATATATTGAAATGCGAAAGCATGTCTTTCTAGCTCTTTGATTGTTAGACACAATGATATGATTTCTTTCAAATGGTACGCGTGCCTGAATACGGCAAGGATCAGCAATAGATATCTTTGTTTTAAGGAAATTATAAAAAAAACCAACCTAATATGTCATAGCCCCCCTACTACTAAAAAAATGTCTCCTTAATTACTACGTTGTATCTTTTTTACCAGAAGAACTTTTACTCACTCAGAAAAGGGTTAAATTACACTCATCAACTCCATCGCTTTTAAACATAATTGAAATATTTGATTAAATAGCGACTTTCAACGAAAGTCCTAAACAACATTCTAACCAAAATAGGGTAATGTGTTTTGAGGTAATTATGTTCACAAAAAATAACTCAAAAATATTGTTGAACACTGAAATATGAACCACCCAGAGGCAAAAACTACGTGCATATACATATATAACGTAAAAATATGTCAACAAGAGCCTCCATTTGGCATGAAAAAATGCAGGGATATTTACCACAGGCATAATTTGTTCCGAGATGCGAGTAGTTTTCTGAAAGCGGAGCTTAAGGAAAACTGTTAGCTTCAAGAAACAGATAATGTCCAAGGAACAATATACCTCAGATCATCTCCGTGCACATTCTTACGCCAAATAAAGGCTGTTGTGTTTACTATCCTTCAAATATTTATTGCAGCGCGCGGTACAAAATGTTTACAAGCAGCATACCGTTTACTAAATGCAATGTTAACTTTTTGGTGTTTTTTGGTAATTTTTTCAATTTGATATTTTTGAACAAACAAATATCTTTTTGCTCCTTCAACGACAGCAAAATGTTCTTTCATTTTGAATTAGATTTGAAAAGAAGACTGTTATCGTGCTGGTTTGAAAATTGAGAAATATCACTGGAGGAATATATATTTGCGTTATTTGCCAAGCTTGTTCGGTCAAGCTGGCTGGATATTGGCCGAGTTCTTTTTTTTGGCAAGCGGGCTAGATCAGAACACAGGTTTCGTTTCATATTGCTGCCAGCTACGTGATAACCTCGGATATTTCTCAGTTGTTGCGTTTACATCAACCGCGCGCGAGCAGATATAATTGATGGATAATAAGGTACGTTTATTCCAATATACAACTTCCGTTATTTAATTTTACTTTTTGTTATCAATGTGTAGATAACTAAGGAAATATTTTGACAGAAATTCTTACAGATCGCACAATTGGCACATCTGGGCCCAGTTTTTCAAAGAACGGATAACGCTATCCAATGGATAACTTGATATATATGTTAACAAAGCATACTGCGCTATCCATGGGAGAGAAATTTTGCCAGTGGATAACGTGATCCACCCTTCAAATAACCGGGTCACCGATAGAAACACACGGTTTGAACAGGGTCACCCTTGTTAGGTTAATCGGAACTTTACCATTTCGTAATTCAAAAAGTGATCTAAAATATAAAAATCTTAAATCAATAAGGTTAATTAGATTAATCATAAAATGAAACTCGAGAGAGCAAGCTGGAATTCGCCGACAAGAGAATATCGACTATGTGAAGCCATCCGCCATGTCTTTAAGGATACTGTACTACTTCGCGGGTGTCCTTTGCGAAAAAAATTTTAACGCGCAATTTGAAGTGTAATCACCATTAACTAACTACAAATCAATTGAAAGGTTAAGAAATGTGCTATGCGGCAAACCTGTTCCTTTTTTTTCTTTTTTTAATTTAATCGTAAACCAACTAAGGAGCGACAATTCGAAACGGACGATGATTGTTTGAGCGAAAAAAATCGGTATTAAATCTGACCACAGGAGTAAAACTTCTGCACAATTTCAATTTCGAAGGATTTGTCTTCAAAGTTGCATGCAGATATTCCGATATTCTTACTGATTGCTTTGCAATTCTCCTGACAACTCTACTTTTTAAAATTTTACCGATAAGCGTTACGTTGGAGGCCATTACAGAAGATCAGTTTCGAAAAACAAAATTTCCTAAAACTGTTTTTAAGTTGGTATCTTGGGATTCTTCGGCCCAAATTTCAAGGCGATAAGTAAATTTTTCGTTCCTTATTAATTCGTTCAAAGAAGACGCTTTTGTGTAAAGACATAGTAGGTTTTTTTTTGCGTCCAAAGTTTTGCCAACATTTGACACCTTCTGGTAACCGACTATCCATTAAAAAGGCGTCCTACGGAGTCTGAAAACACTCTCAGCCAAAAAAATTTTTTTCCCGTAACAGATCTTACTTCAACTGACCGGCCAGTAATTTAAGCCTTTTATTAACTTAGAGGCCAGTTAAGCAAGCCGCAGCAGAATTCGTTATGGTTGTTGGTCTTGGTGTTAGCAGAGAAGATTTGAGTTTCTTTAATTTCTTGTGCTTACAGCCAGGCTTCTTTTTTTCTTTCACCAATGGACCCTTCTCCTTTCAACATTTTCCCATTCGTAGTCAAGTTTTGTACGCAGACAGATAGAAAGATCACCACGAGCAGCTGAAATCAGAAGTTGTATACGCGCCTGAATTCAAGAACTAGGATGCTTTCTGCAAAAACACTTCGAGAGTCATTTATGTTATGTTGACATGATAAAATTGGCCATTCACATTTTGGTAGGCTCAAGAATTTAGTTTGAAAATGAGTTTTTTTCTCGCGCATGTTTCAAATTTTCTCGGAAACTGAAGTTAAAAGTGAAATCTTTGGTTTGACATGAAAAAAGAAGAGTAAAAAATTGGCTCTTGATTGTCTATCGTATCCTGAAAGGGAGTATGGCTTCTCTCAGTTGGTGTTCCCTTCTCGCGAGATAACCTAGGTGGGCAACTGAACAAAATCGAACAATGTTTCGATAGAACCTAATCGAATTTCATCAAACTCAATCCACGAATTGAGTTCATTCATTGCGCACTCCTGAACACACCAAAATAAATGGGATCGATGTCTAATCATATAGATCGGTTTCTCAGGGACAAGCATTAGTCCGAAGAATTGGTAGAGTCTAATGCAATTGATAGTTAGAACTCCGAACTTTTGACTAATGACATTAAAATGTTAACTTCGACTCTTGCAGAGTGTTCTTTTATTTTAGAAGCTTGCGACGTGCCCCAGTTGGCGCAAATCTGTTTTGGATACAATTTTACCGGCAGTATTTTGCTGCAGAACGCACGTGAACGACTTTAAATGCACTGTGAAAGGTTAACAAGAAAGCGCTTGGACTTGTAAATAGACAAACAATTCAGAAAAGCTATAAGACCTGAGAAGAATATTAGGATGTGTTTGCAAATTAAGAGAAACCTTTACAAGTATAGGGCTAGTTATTGTTCATATTTTTTGGCTTTTCCACTGAGTGGAAGACATGAACAGAGTTATTCATATTTGTGGAAAAACCGCCTTAACTTTTAACTGCACCTTTCTCTGTGCTCAATAATTACGAAAAGCGAACTCCCAGAACATTTTTGTTCAATTTCGTTAGATTTATCAATTGGATTGAACCCAATCCGGTAGAATGAGTTCGATTTTATTGGATCAGTTCGACTTGTTCGATTGTTTGGATATTAAACTCAAAGAAAAGATATTGTTCGAGTTTGCCTAGTTTTCGAACTCAATGGAACTCAATCGAATTCAATCCGTTGATGGAGCTCGATTGAGTTCGAAGACCGACCGTTCAATTGCCCACCACGGCAATAATACGCTAACGCTACAAATCAGATGTATCTACAATGACCTTCAGAAACATTGTGTCATCGCGCACATAAGCATGATTATTCAGCTCGGCAAGGGAACAAAACATAGGACATCCACTGGCGATGTTTGTTTCCCTTCTTGGTCGCTGGAATGATGAGCTGTTGGGATCAGGCCTGAAGGCGTCGATTACGTGTTCCACGTTATCCTGATCCAGCAACATGAATGTGACCTTCTGTCTGAATGGCCAGCGGAGCAGCGCGTCATACTGACCGCGCATGACCACAAAGAAGATCGAGATGTGCGTTCCTCTGCCCATTCCATCGCCATTCAAATAGATGCGGGCGCACATTTTGTAGCCATAGCGACTGGTGAAGAAACAAGGGCTGTAGAAGGAGACTTGCTGTCCAGTCACTGCGTCGTTTCGTTTACGAGCATAATCTGAAATCCTCCACAACAGCTGTCCATCGTAGCTTGAGAATTCTTGCTGTCTTACGTATTCTTCCAAATCAGCGAGGGTTACATTTCTAAGTGCCAGTGTGTGCTCAATAGATTCAATCCTTCGGTCATGCCTTCTGGAACTCTCCTGGGTGGTGTCAAGTTGCCTTTTCATATTACCCATGTCACGTCTAACCTCTTCCATAGAGCGATTGTTCTCTACCAGAAGAACCTCGTGGTCAGCGGTCCTGTTTTCAAGGTTTGTCAATCTTCTGGCGTTGTCAGTACTAGGTACGCTACCATCATTTGGATCTCGTTGTTCCGATGACAATGTTCCAGAGACATTCCCCGATGCCAAGTGTCTCTCCAGAGTAGTTATGCGGCCACTATTTTCTTGCACTTTTCCTTGCAGGCTCCTGAGTTCGTCTGCTCGAATTCGCATTTGACTCTGTAAATCTTGAATCAAGCTTTCGTAGTTTGGCAGTAGTTGAGGATTTCTAGATACGATCCTTGGGTCACGGGTCAGAATGGTCTCCAAGTCTGTGTTCATTCGAATTGCAAACTGGATCAGCAAAATACTGTGTTGGACGGAGGCCTTCTCCAAATGCTGCTTCTTTTCTCTTCGGCTGAGAGCCTGTTAGATCATGGAAATTTTAATGTATTTGAAATAGGAACACAACCACACGGCGTTGTCAAAAAGAGAAAAATTCGAAACAGCTTTTATCGAACATATTTTAAAGAGCTGTCGACTCACCTTGACTGAAGGGACTACAATTCTAGGAGATAGAACTTGCTTTGTATAACACTTACATTGAGTGATGTCACACCCAGGACAAAATGGGTTCATTCGCAACGAAGGAGCACCATTTAAATACAGCCCTAATTGAGCTTTAAAGACTTAAAAACTTTAAAGACTTACAAATTTTGTTTAATTCCTACCATAAGCGCCGGCTGAGCTATTATATTAGCCTTAAATCACACACGTGCTATGTATCTCTTGTAAAATTTGTGACTGCCTCCTTCATTTGCCGTAATTCACGTGCTAGTATTGTTAAAGAAACTACTGCAGGAAATTAAAAAAAAACTATCTAAAGTAAAAATTGCATTAGGATGGCAAGAAAGGCAACGTTAACGAAGGTTAATGCTTACTCACCTCCTTTTGAGGGCAGCCAATTTGTGAGAAGGGGCATGGTCCCTGCACGGCTTCACAGTCCCCAAAATGGGGATCCTGGTGATCTCTCAACTTTAAGCAGAAATCAAACTTACACTGTAATTATCCATGCTAGTAGTACTACACAATACCAACTCTGGCATAATAGTCTTCATTATTGTATGCATTTAGGGTGTAAAATGCTGTAAGTCTCCGCGTTAAATATAATCTCTAAAGGGAAGCCAAAAAAAATAGCCAGTAAAATAATAACACGCGTTTTCTTACTTTTCCTCTTGGTATTCCATCTTTATTGCACTTTTCACATATAATTGGGTACGCAGGGCAATCGTTTTCCAGGTGCGTCTGTAAAAATTAATGAACAATACAATTAGGCAGAGTTTGTTGAAGGCAAGTAGTCCTAAGTAAACATTTGGGAGAGAGGCGAACGATGTAACATTTTTTCGATAAAGACCAAACGGTTCTGGTGTAACAGAGTTAATCAGCGTACTTACTTTCATTTAAAATTTCGTTACAAGGTGGGGCGTCAACTCTCGAACAAGGTGGCAACATGAGAATATTTTCTTTGCTTTCACCGGAGTACATGACCCGACTCATAGGTACTCCATCACCATCCCCCACCCCTTAGGATAGCCGAGCTGTACATAGTATTTTTCAAATAACCTACCTTCAACTTGAATACGACTATCGCCTTTTGACAAAATGTACACTTCTCCATTCGGTACTTGCACTCGTTTTCCAAATGTGAAGTAAGTTCTGATTTTTTAACCAGCACGCCACACTCAGGATGTACACAGGGTATCCTTAGGAACTCGCAGCTGTTAGTATGGCTCTGGAATTAAATTGTTTAATCAAAATCAAACAACGTTTTAATTGGTTTTATAGCGGCGAAAAAACGGGTGTGTCAAGCGTCAATAAAAATTTAGGAAATTTTCTTCCTCAGGGCCATGAACATTTCTGTGGGTTTGGCTCTGAGGAATAAACTTGATATACGATCAAGCTCGTCATTCGAATGTCGAACTGATCAGATTTTTTCGAATAGCGACATGAGTAAATTACAACACCGTGCAGGATTCTTTCTCTAAAGTTGATAGTCCTTTACTACTCCTTACTCACTTACCAGCAGATATACTCTCAGTATTTAAGAGCAGAGTTCGTTTTTGTGGCTCACACATATTCGTAAGCTTCGAATTCAATTCATCGATCAAATTTATACATTTTTTAAGTTTCGAAAGCATTTTTTTTGCCTTTTCTTATTTCCAGATTAGACTGTTAGCATGAACATGATAAGTTAGGTTTATTAAACAAATTGATAATCTAAATCGGCGGACGTAAATAGTTTCAAAGCTGACGTTTCGAGCATTGGCATGGCCCTTCGTCGTTCGCTCTGAAAGGGGCTAACGCTGGAAACGTCCGCTTTGAAAATCTTTACGGTGGCCAATTTATATTATCAACTCAGTTGACAAAACCAAAATTACCTTGTTACTCCCACCGATGCAGCACCACAGTTTCTTTAGAAACTTTTTATGTTAGCATCAACACCTACCTTGGGATTATTAACTCAGAGAGTTGGCGTGGTGCGTTTTCCTCAGTCATTAACCCAGTTTCGATATTTAAAAATTCAGTGTCGAACAATAGACCACGACTCGAGGCTCTGGAGAATAAACTGCAGACTTTGAAGGGTTTATTCCCCAGAGCTTTCTAGTAATAAATGCATCAATTTTTCTGAATAACAAAAAAAGATCCAGCCACCAGGTTGCACCAACAGAAAAAAAGGGGAAAGACAGGGACAACCGGGGCGTTGGCCGGGATATTTCGATTTCGCTAAAGATATTTACAGCCTTTGGAGGGAGTAGGAGCGTGTTTCCCCGGTTTCCGAAGTTTTGTCAATCCAAACAATGATCTCCTAGCTGTTCACCAATACACATAGAGGCTTTCACTTGCGTTTCTGGTCGCAAAGAAATGAAACGTTTGCCTTCTTATAATCAGCCTAAGCCGCCTGTTTTTAACTCCAATCTTTGAGTCACGCATTGAAGATTGACAGTACCCGTTACTTCAGGATATGAGATCGATGTTAACTGTTATTCGGACGTTTATCCGTTCGAAAAACTATCCACGAATAACTTAAGTGAAACTAACATATCCCTAGGCCTAGACCTCAAGTCTCCCTCTCTGTCCCCTTATTTTGTCTCGGTTGCACTAGTAGTCCTTAAATCGATTTGCAAGGAAACTTATAGTTCATTTTCTTTCTGTATCGACGTGTTTCACTCATAAATGCGCAAATAACCCGGTCTTCTTAAGGATAAGCTTAACGGCTCCTGATGATAAAAGTATTTAGGACCCGTCCACACGCATCTGAACATTTTCTAGAACCGAGACTTTTTTTAAAACGTTTAAAAACTTTTTCGGACAAAAATACTTTTCTACATCTTGCGTAATAGAATCGAATTAGAAACGACGACGACTCACAGCATCCGCTGAACAGATGGGACATTTTAAAGAGAGTATAATTGCTATTGCAGTGCGAAATTTTCTGGTATTTTCCTTCGTCCACACGAAAAATAAAATCATCTCAGAAAGTGTTTTCGAAGACAGCTCCTTTTAAAATAGTTCGAAAACGTTTGGACCGTATGGACAGAAGGCCAAAACGAATACAAAGATCAGAACTATCTGATAACGTGTGAACGGGGCCTTGGAGTTACGTTTATGCAAACAGCTAACGGTAACAATCGAACTTTTTCTGGCTATCATTGAGTCCTCTGCACAATAATGAAAACGATGAGAACTTTTATACTGGATGAAAAAACATTGGATCATATGGAAATTAATTTTTTTAAGGAATTCTTGCCGTAAGTGTTTGCAGTAAACGTTTTTTCTGTGCAGCTCTGTAAATAATCCCGGAGATGTCTCGATCATAAAGTCTCCAGGGTCAATTCCCAGGTGAATTCGAGTAACAGAGGAAGTAAAAGCGAGCGCAACTTAATAACTCGATATGGTCGAAAAGCAATGTAAGTGCATTGTAAAGCGATTTCAAGTGGAAATTTAATTTGTTTTGTTGCAATTTTGAAAATAATTGCCTGAACATTCCGCATTGAGTTACTAAAAGCGAAGTGAAAAAGTGCAGCATTATTTTCATTAGCGACTAATAATATTCCAACTGGAACAAATTCCTGTCCAGTGACTGTTTTAACGATGAAACTTAATAATCTAAGTCCCTCTGTTTTCTGGTCTTGGATCAAAACAAATAGTTTCCATTCCAGTAATAGATTACAGGACGCGTCAAAATGTAGTGAGAACGTCAGTGATGCAGGAACCGCAACCATTTCGTTCTTACCACATTTGATGTTATCTGTAATATTATAAACCGGGTAAGTGAGTGATTGTTCTCTTTTGTGCACGCACTGATCAGCTAGTAAGGAAGTGATTAGCCAAGTAATATTCTCCTCCATACCAGCTTAAAATCACTAAACAAGGAGGCCGTTACAAAAAATTAAAAGAAATGCAAAAACGGCAATGAAGTTTAATCTAAAGGGAAGGGTTTTTTAATTCTTTTCAACCTCATGCTCTACGACACAAAATATCAAAGTTTCCTTTAACTATTGAGTACTGTAAGAGTAAAGGGAGAAACAGCAAAAGGTTTGCAGCATCGCTCTAAGACGAGAAAAAAAGAACCAATTAAGATTAAATCATAACAACCAGGCGATTAGACCAAAAGGTCAAAAAGCTCTATTTTTCTGAAAGTAAGTGGAACAGGGACTGGGTTTTTCTAGTTGTTACAAAAAATCACAGAGTGCGGATGGGTATCGCGCAGAGAGGTGTTCAGTAGTTTGATTTCCATCATCTGGCAGCATATTACCAGGAAAGAGCAGTTTATTTATTGCTATGTCATTTGGCTTTGGCGAGTGGTTGGTATGGTCACAATTATTCACCTTTAGCATAATTGCTCCGGTGATTACAGAGATGTACGCACCTTGATTGATAAAAGATTGCGTCATATCCCGCTATAATTACCTCGCGCATACTGATAATAGCAAGTGCATTAGAATTCAAAATGGCTGCCTCGCCGGCGTTTTGTCAGGGTCACCGAGGAAATGATGAACACGATAAAGAAGAGCACAAAAGGTTCCAGAGAGCACAAAAAACGCTACCAAGTTTGGAGTAACGCTTTCTAAAAGAAAGACATGAAGTTTTTGCTGATTTAACTGGGTGAAACTGTTAAATTCTAGAAGAAACTGGGTCTTTATCTCTATGCGATTAATCAAAACAATTTAAACATAATGGTTTCAACATCAAAACGAATATTTACAGTAAAATTCGTAAGCACACAAGCAATTACATTAAAGCAATTATTCGCCTCAGGCTCATTGAATATTTTGGATAGCCTGAGGCAAATGATTGTTAAACAGGCCAGTAAAAGTACTGGATGTATCATCCACCACACCAATTCGGTGAATAATTGTTAACTACAAATTGATTGGGCAATTTGTAAACTGTTAAATAGTTCATCTGAATATGAATAGTCCCATAACGGAGTGAATATCCAAAAAACAAAAAATTTCAAAATGCTGTGCTACAGATCCCCCAAAATGATCCAAACCCCTTCAATAATCGACCCAGAAATGATAAATGTTGTTGATTCCCACATGATCACAAAGACGTCAGAGAAAGGTGATCAAATAGAGAACTGTGAAATGCTCAATAATAAAGAAAACTAAAGGAAATATTAGCACCTGTAGTAATTTGAGTTCATTTCTAAACTTCAATATATTTAAAGCAGACAGTGAAGATGAGGCGAATCCTGTGATCTCATTGGCTACCACAGCAGGCAAGATAGGACCATCTTGCCCACTCGGATAAGCCCGCATTGATCCTGCTCAAGGAAAAAGTCCGTTGGGCGGACTTACAATATTCGTAACTTTTAGACAGTGCCTGTGATGAAGTCCCAAAAAGCGGCAGAGGACAGTCAAAACAAAGATAACATTAAAACAATGCTCTTGGGTTTATTTTGCTTCAAAGACAGTTGGCTTTCTCTCCTGGCTCTCGAAATAAACAATTTATCCTTGATTCTTATCAAAGCGAAATATTTTTGCTGTATAATAATTCCCTTATTGACCAAGCTTGTTCGGCCAAGATGGTGGGATATTATCCTCGTTCTTTTTTTGCGTTTTTATGGACCTGGACTTCGTCTCGGTCCATAAAAGCGCGAGAAAAAACCTCGGCCAGTATCCAGTCATCTTGACTTCGCGCTTGGTCAATAATGATTATATATACACCCGTTTCAAAAACGATACAAATTTGAAAATATATATATGATATAGACGTTTTCTTTTCTCATCAGAAAGAGACACTTTCTAATGAGAAAAAAAAGGTACACACACTTACCAGATATTTTCGACATAGCAACGTTTTTGAAAAATTGTAGATTGGCAGATATCTATATATATATTAAATGATAAAAATAATAAGGGAATTTTTAAGTCATTCGCAGAAGTAGTGAATCGCTTCAAATATATGTATATGTATATATATATATATATATATAATTGTGGGGGGTTGTCGTAAATGCTGCTAGAAAGTGCTCAATACATCTGAGTGTAGAGCGAAATACAATTCACACTGACTAAAATGAAACACACATAATTCCCTGTAACTCTGAGTTTCGTGCTTTCGCACTCGTCAGACAGATTTAATGGAAAACATTCCTGTGCTGATTACAATAGGTTGTTGTTATATGCACAATCGGTGAGAAAAACCGAAAATTACAGTGAATGTGGATATATTGATGAACGATAATGAGCCAATGGGTGTGAGTGTATTAGCAAAAGTCAATTG